TGGTAGAGGTGGTAGTGGGGGTTTAGTAGTAGTATTTAGAGTCAGTCAAAGACTAAGAAAGAGAAGCACAGCAAGGGAGCTAGGGGGCCCACAAAGGGTAGGAGCAAAAACACAGAGGGGGGGGGAATATTAAGGGGACCAAATACCCAAGGCAGAAGAAAGAAAACTCGAGGAGAAAGGGAAAGGGGAAGGGAAGGATAAGGGGGAAAAAAAGCATTAGGTTAAGTCACGTGTGTTCTGAAGTTTGGAGGATTTTACAGTGTAATGGGAAAGGAAGGCATTACAGAGACAAAGCCAGAACTAAGTTCATACAAGGAAAGTTGTGTATAAGGGAGGATTCAACCAAAATGGCCCACTGTAAAAGTAAAGACATGGGTAGACCAGTTTTAGCAGAAGACCAGTCAGTAGGATGACTGTGATCTCAGACATGACAGAAAAAGAGGTTTGCCCAAAAACTTTTTTAACCCTTAAAGTGTCCAAATGTAGATCTACGTTGAGGTGCATAGCGCTCCAATCGTAGATCTACATTTTTTTACATAAGAAAGCATGAAAAATTTGGGGACATAGATGTACTTCCAGAGTGCTCGCACATCAACGTAGATCTACGTTTGGACAGTTTAAGGGTTAAGTCTGCATTTCAAACTTTAAAATTTTTGTGAAATATATGAAACCACACTTTCTTTACAGTATTTATGCCAACTGTTTATATCCTTGAAAAGAATATTAAAGCCAGTTATTAATTCAGTTTGCTATCACATTTCTTGGAGGATTTACCCTCCCTCATCCCTAACAGCAGCAAAGAGTTTTCAAGCAGTGGTGGGGACATTAAATGCTTCAGCAGGACTTGGTCGCTGCCAGGTCTTTGTTCGAGACTTCGTTGTCACTCAGATAGTAGGAAAGGATCCCAGCGAGATATGGCAGGTTAGTAATTTTCAGTATTGTCCTTCAAGCATGATACATCATGTGCTATGCTATAAAGGCAGTTCATAAATTTTACAAAACTGATATGCACAGATTCAGTGGTTACCTTTACTATAATATAGTACTTCATTTTTTAATAATCTTGCCAATAATTTAGAGAAAAAGGTTGAGAGTGTTTTTAAACCCACTCTAGTTACCAGACAATGTCTCTGAAAGTCATAAGTGTATCAGTGTTTTGGGTTTATTTTAAATATGAAATTTTACTCTTTTTTGAAAAGGGTTTATATTTGCTTAGAAGTTTACTGATTCTCTTCATTACACAGTACATTTGTACAATCTAATCCCCAATATGTGACAGGATAATCTTCCCCCAGGGCTAACAATAACAAAGAATGATTTTTTTTTTTTTTCCAAAAACAAAATGTTCTGTTTAGTATGAAAGTTATTGGCTCAATAATTTCAAAATTTATTGTAATCTTGAGTTTAAGTATCTTACCTTTGGGACCATGCTGCTGCAGCAAAGCTCCCAGCCTAGCCAGCAAATATTATCTCTGAGAGTGGCTATAAACCGGAGCAGGTATTTAATGTTGATGAGACAGGTTTGCTCTGGAAGAACATGCCATTTAGAACACTCGGAAAGCAAAGAGAAAAATGTCCTGGATTCAAGACTGTAAAAGACTGTTTTAGTCTGTTTCTTTGTGGTAATGCATCAGGTGACTTTAAATGTGAGCCCATGCTTGTTTATTGCTCCAAGAATTTCTGTGTTTACAAATAAAGAAAAAAAGCGTGTTGCTTGTTACTTGGAAGTCCACGCCCTAGAATGGGTGATGAGGCCTTTTTCATGGAATGGTTCCACCATCACTTTATTCCTGAAGTGAAGATGTACTGTCACTTCAAATCTTGCATTCAGGGTTCTTCTCATTCTTGATAATTGTTGTGTCTTCTCCATGGGCAAGTGGAACAGAATTCTTCCTCCATAAGCCATGTGTGTCATAAGAGGCGACTAAAATGCCGGGAGCAAGGGGCTAGTAACCCTTTTTTCCTGTATATATTGCTAAGGGGTAAAAGGAGAAACTTTCGTTTTCCTTCTGGGCCACCCGCCTCGGTGGGATACGGCTGTGCATAGAAGAAAAAAATAAAGATCTTGAACCTGGAGGTGTGGAGCCTGGTGTTCAAGATTGCCTTTTTTTACCTCCAAATATGACATCCCTTTATAAAAACACTGGATTGAGGAGTTATCAAACCATGTAAGTGCCACTGCACACACATTGTGGTGCAGAAGCTAATTGCAGCAATTGAAGAAATGAACAGTTTAGTGCCAGAGTTATGGCCCAATTTAAAATTGCAGAAACACTCCCTGTGTCAAAAAAAATAGTACTGTAGGATCATTTTACCAAAATTAGCAAAAAATGCTGATTGAAGAAAAATATTGCCTAGTGTAGTGAATGATTTTACAGGTTTTCCATCAGTAGAAAACAAGTTCAGGAAATTTTTGATCTGGCAAGAAGAGTACCAGGTGAGGGATTTAAATAAATATAGCCAGTGACATCAATGAACTCCCAAAAGGTGTGATGAGGAACCATTGCAGAGGGAAATATTACAGGAATTAAATTCTCAGATGGAGAGAAAATATGAGATGAAGAACCTGGGGCCTGAATGGGCCAATGTTGACTGCAGGAGATACCTGAGTTGCCCGCACACTATTTGCAAAGCTGCCCTACTTGAAAAGGACCATGACTTTATCTTGAAGCATTGCTTTTAAAGTTACCTTATTGTCTAATGTATGAAACAGTGCAGTGTAAAAAAAACAGCAGCATATGGGAGAATACCTGGACTTTACTGCAGCAACCAACTGATGAAAACTGATTTAGCATCACAAGATCTCCCAACCTTCAAATAATAATGAGCCATCAACCTTGACCTAGTAGGACCACAGCCACCTTCTCCCTTTAGTTTAAGATGTTAAGCATCACCAACTTGGACAGTAGCAAAGAGAGCATATGGATACACAAAAGGCCTAGGAAAATAGGCCCCCAAAAAGGGTATACAGAAGTACTCTGGATTTATTTTGTACACTTCACTTATCTTTTGCAAAGAAATTTGTTTGATTATGTCTGGTACATTATATTATTAATGAAAAGAAGTTATCTTGACATATCACAGGTTATTTACTGTCCTCTGTATTCATCAATTTGCTGGGGAATTAAGCACGGTGTTAGATAGGGCTGGCATATACTTTGCATTTGGTTTGATCATCTTGTGTTTTCTGCCAGACGGCCAGAAGTACTTGTAACCTAGCCTAACCCTGGTTACTATATCAGTCAGTCTGTTCCCCATTGCAAGTAACAAATACTATACAATATTAATGTAACCATTTTTATAGTTACTAAAATTAGGTATTTTCACAGACGATCCTCATTAATAAAATTAATTAGAAAAAGTTTTTTTTAAAGAATTGTGATAGTAAAAATTTTTTTGAGTTTTTCAGAGGGGGTGAGAGGCACAACCTTATTTTTCCCATTTGTTTTTACTGCATAACTCTGTAATCATTTTGGTTGTGCAGGTTTCAGGAACATTTAAATGTTTCAATTTATGAATGCCACTGCAATAAAAATAATAATAATAACATTTCACACTTTCAAACTTCTTTTCATTAATTTTACAATATAAAGAGAGCATTCATTCTGTCTTACAAGTATCAATGATGCAAAATTCAGCATACTATACTGAAAAAATATTTACCTTTTGATTTCAGATTGAAAAAGCCATGGAGTGCTTAAGGATATTCTGGCTCGAAGTGGCTATGCAGAGCCTGAATCAAGACTAATGCTTCAATCTGGAAAAAAACACTATTCAAGCAGTGTATCAAGTTGGGGTCTATTCTAACAAGACCTTTTTGGGCTCAGGTGAGAATAGAACTTCAGTCATTCTGTTTCATGTTTCTTTCAACATCAATCTCCTTTTAAGCTTAGCAAAGTAGAGACAGTGCACCAAGGCTTGAAGAATCTAATGATAAGACACCAATCCTCAAGTGATCTAGAAACAGAAGAATTTCATAATTTAGTTCAGCAAGGGTTGGAGGAAGGGTTTGATGGTTTTTTAAGTGGTTAGAGGAAAAAAGCATCAAGCAGTTTTAGTGGCTTTTGGGATTTGACTTGTGTTAGAGTGTAAGCAAAGCAGCTGATGAAGGGAATTTTGGGAAAAAAACCCCCCTTTGAGAAAGAAGCAAGAAAAGGTAATATGATGAGACTGAAATTAAAATGTGGAAAAGTAGAGAGACTAAGAAACTCTGAGGGAAAGTGAATAAAAATTTTTTTATCTGGCAAGAAGAGTGCTAGGTGAAGGATTTAAGGATACATAGCCAGATGACATCAGTGAACTCCTAGAAGGTGATGATGAGGAACCAGTTGCATAACTGTTAATGAAAGGTTAATAAGGTTACTTACTTAGCAGTTGCAAGCACAAAAAAGAATGGATTATTATGAAATGTATGAACCCGTGGGGTGATGGTCACGTGCTGGTAAACAATGGCACATTGTGAATGGTGCGGGAGACTGGCTTTGTGTGCGCGGTGATGGGCGGACGGGTACCGGACAATCGCCTAATCACAAGTCCAATCACGAACCATGAGGCTAAATTTTGCCAAAAAAACTTGCTGAAAGTTGGATTTCACCAAAGTGGATGCCAGCGAAACTCGGGGGTCCACTGTATATATGATGCTTTTCAGTTACTTACGTACCTGTGAAAAAAAAAAAAAAGTGGAGAATTAGCACTTTTTTTTACTGATGGGGAGCACTTCATGGCTTCTTATAGGCTTTGCTGACATCACTATTTTTTGTGCTTTGGGGGCCATTGTTAAGTAAAATTAAGGCTTATTTTAGGGTAATGGCAAGCAGTGGATAACTAAAACCGTGGAAACTGAATCCGCAGATATGGGAGTCCTACTGTACTGCTTTTGTGTGTGCTTCCATTGTATTAGTACATATTTTGTATCATTTCTCTCCATATTATTGGATTTTATTCTCTTTCAGGTTTTAGTGCTTAGTTATGATTATAATAATAATAATATTGTCTTTCAGGTTATGGTGAGACTATAGAAAAAAGTGTGGAACAAGCAGCTCATGATGCTTTGAGAAGACTTTTCCACATAACAGAGACCAGTGACCCTCTACCATTTGGCAAAGATGCTGATAACATTGCACTTAAAGAAAAAAATGTGTATATTTAAAAGAGTGGATAATTAATAAACACAAAACATTATAAAAATTTCTAGTTTTAAAAACAGTTAATATTTTTGTGTATGCTACACGCATTTTGAAATTTTTATTTTTATAAAAATAGATAAACTACCATAAATTTATGTTGATGCACTGTTGTAATTTTCCGTCTCACTATTTTTCAGGTCATCATTAATCATGAACATTGTAAGCGTTTCAGCAAAACAGTAATTTGATAAAGAAAACAATAGTACTCGAGTTACAAACTTAATTTGTTCCAGAAGGCTGTTCGAGTGCCGATAACCAACAATTTGTTCCCATAAGGAATGATGTAAATTAGATTAGTCTGATTCAGACCCATAAAAAAAACGCTTACAAAAATACACTTACATAATTGTTGGAGTTGGGGCTATTCGAAACTCGAGGTACCACTGTAAGGCATAGTTTTTCGAAGATAGTTTGTATTAATATTGTATTCATTTTTAGTAGTAGTCACTAAGCATATTATATGGAACATTTTATGAAGTTAGATGTACAGTCTAGGCAAAAAATTCTTCATGCCTGAAGCTGAACTACTGGAATGAATCTACAGGTTACTGGAGCCCGCTTAAGGCTCAGCACAACTTCAAGTAGGCATTTTTGGGACTTTCGACTGTAACTGTTCAGTACTACAAAGTTGATAAAAAATGAAAAAATTTAATATACAGTTAAATATTACAGATACAAGTAAAATTTTTTTGTTTTTATGTAAAATAATGTATGAGTAAATTATTATCATGCTTGTTTACATTGTCTCTCCTTGAGGACTGTTTACATTGTTCTCCTTGAGATGTTTACATTTTCTCTCCTTGAGACTGTTTACATTGTCTCTCCTTGAGATGTTTACATTGTTCTCCTTGAGATGTTTACATTGTCTCTCCTTGAGACTGTTTACATTGTCTCTCCTTTAGACTGTTTACATTTTCTCTCCTTGAGATGTTTACATTGTCTCTCCTTGAGGGCTGTTTACATTGTCTCTCCTTGAGACTGTTTACATTGTCTCTCCTTGAGGGCTGTTTACATTGTCTCTCCTTGAGACTGTTTTCATTGTCTCCTTGAGACTGTTTACATTGTCTCCCTTGAGACTGTTTACTTGTCTCTCCTTTAGACTGTTTACATTGTCTCTCCTTGAGACTGTTTACATTGTCTCTCCTTGAGACTGTTTACATTGTCTCTCCTTGAGACTGTTTACATTGTCTCTCCTTGAGACTGTTTACATTGTCTCTCCTTGAGACTGTTTACATTGTCTCTCCTGAGACTGTTTACATTGTCTCTCCTTGAGACTGTTTACATTGTCTCTCCTTGAGATGTTTACATTGTCTCTCCTTGAGATGTTTACATTGTCTCTCCTTGAGACTGTTTACATTGTCTCTCCTTGGGGGACTGTTTACATTGTCTCTCCCTTTAGACTGTTTACATTGTCTCTCCTTGAGACTGTTTTCATTGTCTCTCCTTTAGATGTTTACATTGTCTCTCCTTGAGGACTGTTTACATTGTCTCTCCTTGAGACTGTTTACATTGTCTCTCCTTGAGACTGTTTTCATTGTCTCTCCTTGAGACTGTTTACATTGTCTTCCTTGAGACTGTTTACATTGTCTCTCCTTGAGACTGTTTACATTGTCTCTCCCTTGAGACTGTTTAACATTGTCTCTCCTTGAGACTGTTTACATTGTCTCTCCTTGAGACTTTTTTACATTGGGCTCTCCCTTTAGACTGTTTACATTGTCTCTCCTTGAGACTGTTTCATTGTCTCTCCTTGAGACTGTTTACATTGTCTCTCCTTGAGACTGTTTACATTGTCTCTCCTTGAGACTGTTTACATTGTCTCTCCTTGAGACTGTTTACATTGTCTTTTCCCTTTAGACTGTTTACATTGTCTTCCTTGAGACTGTTTACATTGTCTCTCCTTGAGACTGTTTACATTGTCTCTCCTTGAGACTGTTTACATTGTCTCTCCTTGAGCTGTTTACATTGTCTCTCCTTTAGCTGTTTACATTGTCTTCCTTGAGACTGTTTACATTGTCTCTCCTTGAGACTGTTTACATTGTCTCTCCAATTTGAGACTGTTTACATTGTCTTCCTTGAGACTGTTTACATTGTCTCTCCTTGGACCGTTTACATTGCCTCCTTTAGACTTTTTTCATTTCTCTTGAAATGGTAATTTTTCTTTGGGTTTTTTTTTTTTTGTTTTTTTTCTAAAGTTTCGGCCTCTCCGAGGCGGGTTTAAGCCCAAAAAGAAGAAATTTCTCCGAAATTTTCATTTCTTCCAAGACACTTTCCCCTACTTTTACATTGTTTTTGAGGAGGGGTTTCCCGTTCTCATTTAGAAGTTTACACTTAAAAATTTACAAGCTTTTCCCCCCAACTGCAATTCCAAACTCTTTGGCCCATGGGGAATGTTTCTGTCCCCCCTTTGAGGTGTCAAGTTTCCTTAGCGTTTCTTTCTCTCCTTGGAATGTACGTCCTTTCCAGACTTTCTTGTGTCCCCCTGGCTGTTTCTTGTCCTTGGACTGTTTTTGTTTTGGTGTATTCCGAGTTCTTGTGGTTTCTGTTTCCTTGGAGGACGTTAATAGTCCCTTTGGGACTTTCTTCGGGGTTGCTCTTGGCTTTCCTACTTGTCCCTGGCTTAATTTTTTTTTAATTGTTTTTTGGGTTTAAATGCAAGTGGCCCCGGGCTGGTGTTGGAACTTATCCCCCTAAGAGGCATCGTATTTTGGCATGCATTACTCTACAATTAATATTATATTATTAATAAATATTTATATATATTAATATATAAATATTAAACTATAATTAATATATATCATACCTTTGTAAGTGAATGGAGCAATGTATCTGGACCTGACGATCTGTTGGAGTTAGCGGGTAAATTAGTAAGGGTTTCGGGCCCGTTTTTTCTTAGTCACTTGGTCTGGAAAATGGGAGTGCTGCCTGCTTTTCGAGGGGTTTGGGATATTGGCAGTTTGGAGGGTATTTTGTGTTCTTTATACCTATTTGCTTCTATAACTGTTGTATTCTGACACTTGCAAAAGCAGTGTAATGTGGAGTTTGAAAATGTTAATATATAAAGAAAATTTTTTTTTATTTTTTCTTTTTTTCAACCCTGCCTGGTGGGAGAACCGGCCCGCTTGTTGAAAAAAAAAAAAAAATTATTATTATATATGGTATATATTACTAAATGTAAAGGAGACTTTCGTTTTTTCCTTTTGGGCCACGTTGGTGGATGGGATGTTTTTGGAAATTTATACATATCTTTAATATTTATTATTAATTAATAATTAATATATTTGTTGGTATGAGTTTGCATGCCATATAATACGAATGCTCTTAGGGGAGGTGTCCACCCCCCCGGGTGGCTCACTTGCATTTAACAAAAATTAATAATTTAATATGTTTTATTCTTTAGACTTTGTTTTTTGGCACCCTGCAAAACGTGATAAGTGCGAGTGTGGTGAAAAAAATGATATTGAAATATTTTTTTTTGGGGGTTTTTTTTTTTTGGGAAGTCGGGGGAAAGGGATTGTTAAAAAAAAAAAAAAAAAAAAATATATATTTTATATATATATATAATATATATATATATATTATAATTATCTGGAGGGGGTTTCGGGGTCAACGCCCCCGCGGCCCGGTCTGAGACCAGGCCTCGTGGTGGATCAGGGTCTGATCAGTCAGGCTGTTACTGTGGCTGCACGCAAACTGAGTACGAACTACAGCCTGGTGGTCAGGTAATGGACTTTAGGAAACCTGTCCGCCCCTTTCTTGAAGACAGTCCGAGGTCTATTGGTAATCCCCTTATGTATGCTGGGAGGGGAGCTGAACAGTCTTGGGCCCCCGGGGACTTATTGTGTTAGTCTCTCGTGTACTCGTGGCGCTCCTGCTTTTCATTGGGGAAATATTTCATCTGCCGGGCTTTTGCTTTCATAGGGAGTGATTTTCGTGTGCAAATTTGGTACTAATTCTTCTAGGATTTTCCAAGTGTATACCCCTCAAAGGAGGTTCCTTGACGTGGTGACGGGCTCTTGATCTAGGGAATTGGATCTGTGCTCAGTTCCCTGAAAATTTAGCTTGAATACCTTCCATCTCCCCCCCCCCACGTGCGTGTATAATCCTACGGGGTTTTGCGCTCCCCATGATTATAATAATAATCCAAGTGTGTATTATCATGTTTTCTTTCTCGCCTGCGTTCAAGGAATACAAATCAAGGGACTTCAACCGTTCCAGTAAATTAGGTACCTTATCGTACTTATGTGTAGCTGGGACAGCTAGCTAGCTAGCTAGCTAGCTAGCTCTCTCTCTCTTCTCTCTCCTCTCTCTCTCCCTCTCTTTTCTCTTCTCTCTCTCTCCTCTCTCCTCTCTCTCTCCTCTCTCTCTCTCTCTCTCTCTCTTTTTTCACAGGGTTTGATAGGTTAAAAGGGTCCCAGCTTTATTGACAGCTATTTACAGGTTAAAGGATTCCTAACTTTATTGGCAAGCTAAGAGCTGTTACCTACATCAGCTCATTTGAAAGCAATTTTATTGTTATGAGACATACAAGTAGGGAACAGGATGAAGTTGGAGCCATCTGTGGGTCAGCATTTTCATTTGATCAACTGACTTTATCTCGTTGACATTATGCTGTACGAATGTGTTCCATACTCGAGTCATCCTGGGTATGTATGATCTCAGATGGAGTTTACCTGGAGTTTACCTGGAGAGAGTTTCGGGGGTCAACGCCCCCCGCGGCCCGGTCTGTGACCAGGCCTCCTGGTGGATCAGCGCCTGATCAACCAGGCTGTTGCTGCTGGCTGCACGCAAACCAACGTACGAGCCACACCCCGGCTGATCAGGAACTGACTTTAGGTGCTTGTCCAGTGCCAGCTTGAAGACTGCCAGGGGTCTGTTGGTAATCCCCCTTATGTGTGCTGGGAGGCAGTTGAACAGTCTCGGGCCCCTGACACTTATTGTATGGTCTATTAACGTGCTAGTGACA